TTGGCACTTACCAGTCAGCAAGATGTATAAGTTGTAGTTTTAACCATTCTGTTTACTATTTTCTCGTTCACCTTGGGTATTTCGAGTGAAATATAGAGCTTCATTCAAACTAACCTCCTCATGTGCCCGATCTTCCCTTTTTCTTTTGGCTTAAAGCCGGAGGATTTCATCGTGAGCCGATCTCATTTAGATAACCATTGGAAAAACTGGGAGTACTGGGCAGCTGTTTCGCCTGCCTAGTTCAGGAGTCTTCATCAGTACGTATTCACCAACAGAGGGCGAACCCAGGACCTTCTGGTTACAAGGCTAGCTATCTTGTGGACCATTAAGCTACTGGGATCCGGTCCAGTGGTCCCACTCTGCCAATTTCTGTTTAACTTCATCATAGATATGCTGATGGAAGTATCCCTAACTGAATGTAGTGACTTAGGAATCGACTTGTTACCAGAGAATAGTCTTATGGACTTAGAATATGCATATGACATAGTCCTGTTAGGGGAGGATGATGACAAAATCCAACAGAGTCTTCTGAACACCTTGAGCAGCAATCCGTATGTTTGGCATGCGATTCGCCCCTGTAAAATGTAAGATGCTGTTACAGGACTGGACTACATCAACTCCTAGCTTAGTGATAGGGAGTGAAGTGATAGAACATGTTGACCACTTCACCTATTTGGGAAGTTGTATCAGCACCAACGGACTGATTGGCGACGAAATCTCAGCACGGATCCAAAAAGATCGAGCTGCTTTCGCTGACTTACACCATCTCTGGCGTAGGCGTGACATCCGGCTATCAACCAAGGGACGTGTGTACTGCTGAGTAGTTCGCTCCGTCCTTCTCTATGGCTCTGAAACATGGCCAATACGAGTTGAAGACATGAAAAGGTTGACTGGTTTCGATCATAGATGTCTGCGATCTCTTTCTCATGTTAGGTGGTTCAACAAGGTAAGTAATGTTGACGTTAGGCGTAGAGTGTTGAGCAGGCAAGGAGGGAAAATCAATCGACGAGGCTATAAAGTTACATAGATTGAGATGGCTAGGTGACGTGGTGCGCATGCCTAACCATCGCCTCCCCTCCCCCGCCGACGGGCATTACTAGCTGATATAGGTGCAGGTTGGGAAAGAGTAAGTGGTGGCCAAACAAAAACATGGCCTCATCAATCCATGAAATCCTTGACAGTTAAACTGAGTCAGTCAGGTAGGGAGATGCAGACTTCCGGGTTGGGGCCCTCGGGACTCTAGGAATCAATGGCTGGAGACAATAGGTGACATGGCTCAAAATCGTTGTCAATGGCAGGCGCAGATGTATTCAGTCTCTGTAATCTTTCATATTCCTTTCTACCATTACCCATTCTGTTTCACTCTTATACTTGTCTGACTGTATTGATTCTCTTCACTCATCTTCTTGTCTACCTTTGTGTGCTATTTGTAACGTGGCAACTCGAACTGGTGCACTTCGGTGGCAAGTTCTATGTTGAATCCAGACAGACAGAGACAGATCCAATGGCCAAACCATGTATTCCAACTTCTACCGATTCATGAAATAGTGTGACTACTTCTCATTGTCTTCTTCTATGAGTTACTGCCTCACCTTCAACCTGCTGTACCCTATTGGTCACGGCTTCCCACTAGAACCTGGCCTGTGTAAGGCCAGTCGCTAGTGAGCATCAGATTAATTTTCAAGTATTGGTTTTGTTGGGAATTTTGTGTGATTGGTCAGAGGATTTCATCATGAACTGACATCATAACTTAAGGCTCTCGTTGAGAGGTTAATTGCCCACTTTGTCTTATCGATGATTGACGGTATTTCATTGGTGAATCGGAATGACGCAAAGCCCGTACCGGAGAATATGGAAAGTGGCAATAAACAACAAGGAGAGGATGGCGAGAGGCAAAACATGTACAAGGCAAATTATGATACCGTGTGACTAAGTTGATACGATTATGAGTAGCAATAATTTATGGTTAAAACGTCATCCAGTTATCAATACTGCATCGTCACTGTGTTTGGTATTTGGTATTTTGGATCGGTGCTGAGATTTCGTCGCCAATCAGTCCGTTGGTGCTGATACAACTTCCCAAATAGGTGAAGTGGTCAACATGTTCTATCACTTCACTCCCTATCACTAAGCTAGGAGTTGACGTAGTCCAGTCCTGTAACAGCATCTTACATTTTACAGGGGCGAATCGCATGCCAAACATACAAAGATTGCTGCTCAAGGTGTTCAGAAGACTCTGTTGGATTTTGTCAGCATCCTCCCCTAACAGGACTATGTCATATGCATATTCTAAGTCCATAAGACTATTCTCTGGTAACAAGTCGATTCCTAAGTCACTACGTTCAGTTAGGGATACTTCGATTAGCATATCTATGATGAAGTTAAACAGAAATGGGCAGAGTGGACATCCCTGTCGGACACCACTGGTTGTTACCAATTCAGATGACAATTCCCCATAAGCCCTTACATGGCTACATGAGTTTGAATGGAGTGCCTTGATTAGTGCAATGTACTTTCTTGGCACTCCCTTCACAGTCAGGCATTGCCGTAGTACCTTTCGATCCACGGAGTCGAAGGCCGCCTTCAAGTCAAGAAATATGACAATTGTTGGACGCCGAAAAGTGTGTCTATGTTCTAGAATCTGTTGAAGAGTGAAGATATGATCTATGCACCAATTCTGGGGATTTTTTGGTAGTAGTGAAGTACCTCGATCGCATACAGTTTCGTTTATTAGCCTGTACTCCACATTCTATCAGTTTTGTTGTATTTGTAAACTGTCCTAAATTTGTCAAAATCGAAAAAAGTGTGATTTGTTTCAATTTTACTGACCCTTAGTGATTTTTAATTTATTTTATATATGTCCAAACCAGGTTCACTTTTCACATTTTGAAAAAATGTGGGCGTTGGATATATTATATTCATTATAATAAAGGTTCTTTTTGTATTTCCCAATGAATGAATGAAAAACAAAACGATGTCGTTGAGTTTACTGACGTTTCGCTATTTAGTGCTGTTGCTAATAGCCTTATCAAAGTAGTAATATTAAACCAGAATTTGCAAAATCCACTCAGTTTATATATAATAACTTAATCATCGTTCCTCTGTATGGGGTTATTTTGCGTTGTGCGTCGGTGGCACAGTGGTTAAGACTCTCGTCCACCATGCACATGGTCCGGGTTTCGAGCCCAAGCCGACGCACACCTGATATCTATAGTCGGTCTGTGTAATTTGGGCTACCGATATCCACGCTGAAAATTTCATACATGTACCAAAAATACAGTGTGGAATCAAGCTGTGATCAAAATAAAAATAAAAAAAATTGGCCAGTTGATAAAAGTAACAAAACCAGGTGTAGATTGTTGGATTTGATAAGTGTATAGAATTATAAAAGCAGTGTGTGTTTACATAGTGAAATCGCTTACCAATCATAGTCGTTTTGATTTTGTTATTTCATGAGGGACGGGGGGTGTTGTAACTAGGTCAAATTCTGTTTTAGTCCAACAGTTCTATTCAGACAATTTGGATTCCATTTGATGATATGAAGTGCTTCTGATGATATTAGAAGTTATTTGTGATTTCTGAAATGCTTTTTCTGGATGATGATTTCAATATTGTCAAAATCAATTTTTTTAGCCTGATTCTAAAGCGTGCAGACCACTCCAATAAATATTTAGACTTCGGATCATCACATCCCATCAGCGCAAAGGTATCAGTTGTTTCAAGTCTTCTTCGACGAGTACACTCTTTGATGTTAACCAATGAGAAAAGAAAAAGAAGAACTAATATCAAACATTACTGAAACTCTCAAGCAAAACAACTACCTTAGGGACTTCATCAACAAAATCAACACTCACATTAAACATGGTGGAAAACGCGTTCCGAAAACAGGGGCCTCAACAATTGTCATTTCATATATACAGCAGGGACGTCAGACGATATGAGAAGGGTACTCAATAAGGTCAACATCAGAGTTTTCTTCAAAACATCAAACACACTGCGAAGCAACCTTGTCCATACAAAAGACCAAATCTCTAAAAATTCTCTATCTAATTGTGTTTATAAAATAAAATGCCTGCTTGGAATATGATGAGATATACATCGGATAAACATCTCGAGAAATCAAGGTAATCAGAAGAAATGAACACCGTAGAGCCGCATCTGTTCGACCACCGAGAAATCCAGTTGAACTAGGAAAGCTTGAAAAATCATCAACACGCTTTAGAAATAAGCCACAAAATTGATTTTGACAATGTTGAAGTCATCACCCAGAAAAATTCCAGAAATCATAAAGAACGTCTGATATCAGAAGCACTTCATATCAAGTATAATCCAAATCGCCCTGGTTAAAACACCGCCTGCTTCAGTCCATGAAATGACATAATCAACACGAATGTGATAATCAATTTCATTATGTAAACACACGCTGCTTTTACAATTTTATACACTTATCAAATCCCACAATCTACACCTGGTTTTGTTATCTTTACCAATTGGCCAATTTGACAACGCAAAAATGACCCCATGCTGAGGAACGATGATTAAGTTGTTATATACATAAGCTGAGATTTTGTCGATTCTGGTTTAATATTACTAATTTGATAAAGCTATTACTAGCAGCATTAAATATCGAAACGTCAGTGAAAACAGAGATATCGTTTTGTTTTTCATTCATTCATTCATTGGGATTGTGAATCGGTTAAGTGGAAATTTCATACAATATGTTGCGGAGCTGTAGCTTATTGGTGTCGAGTCATTCGTCTTCCAGCCATACGGTAACATGTTCAAAACACACACACACACTCCACCAACTGAGATTTTGGCAGCCAGGTAGAGTATTACCAGGTCCCCACCCCGTCACACATCCAATAGACAATTGCTATTGGTTGTTGACTAACACTTCTTTTTCCTTCATTTGATTTCATGTCATTTCAAAACTGATTCACATCATAAAACATATTTCCCCTTAATATTTTTTTTCTTTTCTTTGTAATCTTTTTTAGGTTCTTGTTCAACCATCACAACGTTTAGACTTTTTAAAAGAAGCCACAATTATGATGCAGCTGTCACATCCACATATAATAACCATCTATGGTGTTTGTGAAAATAAACGATTAATGATGATATTGGAGTTAGCTGAACTTGGCAGTCTCTTAGACTATTTGTTAGATTATCCAGAAAAATGCCAGTTGCCAGAGTTATACAATTGGAGTATGCAGGTGAGTAGTGGTAGTAGTAGTAGTAGTAGGGAATCAATGACTGGGGTTGGTTGTGTATGGGTATTTAGCTACTCATGATTGTTTTTTCTTTTGAATGATGGTATATATTAGTGGTTAGTGCTTGTTGTCCTGATCGAAATAAGTCGAAACACTGTTACTCTCGGCCGGTACACTGAGCTTATCAGCCGAGTACCCGAGTTGACTCATATTAGAGAGCAAAATGAAATGCAGCCCACCCTGCTATGTTCTGCATTGGTGGTTGCATGATTAGAATGCTCGCCAACCACGCGTCACGCAGTTTGGGGTTCGACCTCTGGCCAGTGCACTCCTAAACCTCGCTTAGCTGGTGGTAAGCCTCGGGGAGGTTGGGCGTCAGACTAGCACCTCTCCATCGTCCGTAGAAACTAAACACCGCTGCTGCTGCTTACACTTCAAAACTCTAGCTTGAAACCTTCCTGTGTTTCACTTGGAAGGTAAAAGAATAAACAAACGATATTGTTATGACTGAGGCTTTCGTCGTCTTCCTATACAACGTCTTCAGCGCAGACTCTGAAAATTCCAATCAAAACTTGCTACTATGCATGTAATACCGACCTTCTTCTGGAGTACTATTCGCGATGTAATCTAGTTAGTTGTAATGACTTAAATTGTGGGTTTTATCCATCCTCCAGTTTCCAATCCTACTTCATATGGCTCTATTCCACTCTGGCTTCCTATTTCACCGTCCACCCACTTTTTCCCATTGGTTCAGTAGTCGTCACGCCCCTATAGATTCAGTTACTCCTGTGGAGAGGTGCCCCACAGCATTATTTTGTTGTTTGGTAGGTGACAAAGACATTAGAACATATTGATGGGCATATGGAATCCATTCCATTTAGAGCTTAGTTGAAGTTTTCTTCTTCTGTGATGCAACAGTGAGGGTTTTTCGGTCTCCAGCCTTCATTGGTTCTAACAATCCCGAGTACTCCAGTCACTTAAACAGTCAGTTTACACCTCCGTACATGACTGGCTGAGACTAACTGTTATGCATTAGATTGACTGACCACCAAGCGTTAGCTCTTTTCCAACCCGGTCCGTCAGAAATGTCAACTAGCATCGTCTGTTGTCGAGGAAGGAGATAGCTAGGCATCTCAATCGATTCAACTTCACAATCTCATCGATTGATTTTCCCTCCTTGGCTAACATTCGACGCCTAACCTCAATATTGCTTGCCATATGATACCACTTAATACGGGAGATGGAAGGGAGGCACCTATGATCAAAGACAGCTATCCAGGCTTTTTATGTATTCCAATTTCAATGGTCATGCCTCACTCACAACCATAAAGGAGGAGGTGGGAGCGAAATGGTGAGCAGAATGCACGTCCTTTAATTGTTAGCCAGCTGGATATCACGTCAATTAATTCAGAGATGTCATCAGTTGACTGGCAAATGCCGAACGTGTCTTCTGTATAAGGAAACGCTGCTCTAAGATGATATGTTTGTGGTTGAAAAGTATATGATGTTGTTCGCCAGCGACGCTGTTGAGGTCCGTGTTCGATTCTAAGCCAACGCACTCATAAGCGTCTTCTAGTTTACTATCCCGTAATTTGGTCGTGACGTGTAAGCAACGTCACTGGTACTTCTGAAACTTTGAGACTTGAAGCTATATGATTCACTCGGAACACAAAAGAATTATGAAGAACCCTACGGTGATTGTATTCTAAGGTGTCAGTCGCCTACTTGTTGTTGTCTGAATGCTTAAGATACTTTTCCCTTATTCCTGGTCAAAGTAGTCACAATAGAATTCCTATCTGAATGTAAATTAGCTGTATTTACAATTGACAGAGGTTGAAATTCTTAGACCATAGATGGGGGCCGGCGTTCCAGTGGCTTCCAATGGTTTACAAAGTCACCGTATAACCGAAACGTATTGGGTTTGAACACCGGTGGATGTGTACCGGTGAGGAAAGAGTCCATAGCTAGGAATAAACAGTTGCCCAATACTTCCTAGCTTTTCAATGCTCCTCTATTCTGTGTCAGCTAGTTATCCAACCTTTAAAGTACCTAAGACGGTGAGAGGAATATGTTAGGCTCCACTTTCCAGAGGAATAACACACTCTATGAAGAATAGACTAACTAACTAACTTTAATTTGAATTAGGCATTTAGAAGACAAATTTCACCAGTTGATATTGTCATTTCGTAGTTTCTTAACAACGGCTTTACAAGTAACCGGTTTAATGATAATCAAATAAAGTTCATGACAATTACTCAGTTATATAAAACAAAACGAAAGTACATACTAATGATCAATCATATTTAAATAGGTCATGTAATTCATGGTAGGTAGGTAGGTAGGTTGAAGTCTATTGTATTGACTGTATACACAGTTTAGGCTGTATATGATTAATCCGCGAAGTGATTCCATCACCTTCAGTAACGTTGAATTATTCTAGGAATTTCCTACCACCTACGGTCTGGAAACTTATAACCTTGAATTAGAGTTATGTGGTGAAATAATTGTGAAACAGTCATTAATAATATTGATTTTGTGACCTGACAATAATAAGTGTTTTGCAATGGATGATGCTGGATTTCTATTCAGATTAATAATTGCATTGGGATTTTCTATATGTTTTACTAACCATTTTGGAATATGTTCTTTTCGACGACTTTGGAACATTCTGTTAGTTCTACCTATATAGGTGTCACCGCAACAGTTGCAGGTGAACTTGTAGATACAGTTTGAAGTAGAGTTCACAGAATTGCATCCTTTAATCTTAGGTGTTCAGGGATCGAAAATGTTCGGCAAATGAGGGAAAGAGATGCAGCGGCGTAGAATGTGCGTTTGATGGCTGACCGAAGTCTTTGAATTAGCTGTCAACTGCATAATCTAGTCACTTTTGAATAGTAGGTTAATAAAGATAGCTTTCTGTGGTACAGAAGCTGTCTTTTCATAACTGAGTCATGAGCCATGTTAGTTGTAAAGCGGTTGTAAAGAAACTACGCGCTGATGATATCATCTCGCGAAATTTGTCTTCTAAATGCCTTATTCAAATTTATCAATGGGACTAATTGTTTTAATTTTCTCTAACTAACTTTTAGTGATTTTCTTTGATTTGATTGTGTGTTTTCTTGCCTTGCTAACCGTGTGTGTTTGTATGTATTTTGTTCTATTACAGATAGCCAGTGGTATGAGTTTCTTGGAATCGGCTAGATTCGTTCATCGTGATCTAGCCTGTCGTAATGTTCTCTTATCAAATCATTCATGTGCAAAAATCTCTGATTTTGGCCTATCTCGTGCTGTCGGTGTCGAATCTGACTACTACAAGGCAACTCAACGGGGTAAATGGCCAGTGAAGTGGTACGCTCCAGAATCAATCTATTATAAAACATTTAGTCATGCAAGTGATGTATGGTCATTCGGTATTTGTTTATGGGAAATGTTCTCACTAGGTGAACATCCTTATGCCGACCAGGATAGTTTTGAAGTATTACGTCAAATTGAAGAAGGCGTCCGTTTGCCAAGACCTCATCTAGCTAATGATGATGTCTTTGCTATCATGCACGACTGTTGGGCGTATAATCCAGATGCTCGACCAACATTTGCTCAGTTGTTGGCTGTTTTTCAACATCTTGCTACAAATGTTTATGAGAATGTTGAACCACCGGAAGTTGTTGTCGCTGCCGGTGGTAATCCCGCTGGTAATGTTTGTAATAAAGCTGTGATGAAAAATGGTGTAGGCAGTGGGGGTAATAATCCGCCTACACAGACTAGTGGTACTTCCCCAGGTATTACAACAACCACGGCCACTACGGTTACTCCATTACTCAGTGATGTCAGCGATCGACGATCAGCTGGTTGTACAAATGTGCGTATTCCTAATGTTGTTAACACTAACGGATCATGATAAATAAATAAATATCCTAGTCAAAATAGTAGATGGTTAGTTTGTTCAGAGGTGGACACTTGTGGAGTTTGATTTATACCTATCCTGTACTCTAATGACTTTGGTTTCATCTGATATTACTACCAGTCTGCAGTTCGGTTGTGACAGTGTCTGCGTGCATGTGTGTACAGGTAAATATTTCACTCCAGTCTACGAGTCTTTTGTGTCCATTCTGCATTTGATTCATTCTGTATATTTGATGCTTGGGAGCTTATTTTTCTCTGATATACTACTACTGTTACTTTTGTTAGTAGTATCTATCAGTAGTAACAAAAATAATAATCTACCTCTACTTCTGCATTCACACTGTTTGCTCCTCTTGATTTTCAATCAATTTCTCTTTTTTTTGGTCTCTTGAATGATAGAAAACAGAAAAAAATGTGAGAGGAGATCACTCCTCCTTTAAGCCTCCCCGTCCCTCCCCTCTCTCTCTCTCTTGCCAACACATTCATAATTTCTTCTCTTTCAATGCATTCAGTACATCTGTCTTTCTTGCATTTATCGTCATGTTTTTCTTCTTTTAGGCATTTTTAAACTCATTTCTACTTTTTATTTTTTATTGATTTTTTCAACTGACTGACTGTGTTATTGTTCTGTCTTGAAACCGTGACATCTCCTAGTTTCTTTGATATCTCTTCGATATATTATTTGTTAATGTCCATGTACATTATCGTGATAGTAATAATAATAATTATAATACATTCAAATTTCCTGTATTCACTTTTGTACAATAACTAATTACTTCCTTCTGGTTAGTTGCAATTGTCGTCTTTTTTCCTTTATTTACCGTTCAAGGTTCAATTTCCGCCTTTTTTGTGTTCAATATTCTAGTGTTGCTTTTGTTCAATTTTTATTGTTGATATTTTTGAAACATGCATACAGTTGATTCATAATAATACTAATATTATTATTATTGTTATTCCTTTTTATGTGACAATAATCATTTTTTTCTTTTATCATTATTATTTAATATTGATTTGTTTATTTATTTATCCATCCAGTTATTTGTTTTAATGTATCAATTATTTGTTGATGTTGTTAAAATTTGAATTCATCTTTAATCATAGAAATGAACATTCAAAGTACTTATCATTTATTTTGCCTATGTGTACGTGTTTGTGTGTGTGTGTGTATGTTTATGCGTGTATACCCCTGTTAGTATTCCGCATACAATAAATTTCAGTTCAAACAATCATAGGGAATATAAACATTAGTTACTATGCCAATGACACTGGTACCAGCCTACCTACCTACCTTACCTCCTCTTCTCCTAACTATAGTAACAATTATTGATGATTTATGTGCAATTCTTTTCTGTTCTAGTATTTGTGTGCGTGTGTGTGCGTGCGTGTTTCAATGTATGTGTGGTCCAGATGGACTCTACTGTCAACCGCCGACTTTGTGGATCTGAATCTTGCTCCATTTGACGAGGTTTGGGTGCAGCCAGGTAGTGGTAGCATTGACGCCTCCCCTCGACACACACACACAATAGGTGTGATGGTATGCGTGTATGTATGTGTATGTGTGTGTGTGTGAGCTTGTGAATATTTTGCATTGCCTGCATTTTTCTTCCTCTTCTCGACGACAAGACGACATGTATATGATTATTTCGTTTTCATCTCGTCTAATGTTTCTTTTCTCTCTGACATTCACACACATACACACACACACACTTATTTTTCATTTAATGAGTAATTATTAACTTAGTCCTTGATGAAATTTGTTTTCATTCACATTGTAGAAGAAAATATTTAAAAACAAAACAAACAAACAAAATATATACAACAGTGGAAGCAAGAGAGATTATATTATGTGTTTTATTGCCTTTCTTTTAATGATAGACTATGGGGAGTGGGACTGTAGAGTGTAGTGCAATGTGGTGTTTATTGTTAATATGGGGGTAAACTGATGCTTTGTTGATGCTTGTCGACGACTCACGTGGGACGCGCCGCGCACGTTCCACTCCCTAAACCTTGTCTTGTTTATTAGTTGGTAGTAAACTCGGCAAGTTTGGACATGAGGTTGACTCTGGCAAAGAGAAAAATAAAAACAGTCGGGTAACTCTAAAGGTAGACGGATCCAAATGAAGGACCGAATTTAAACGGATGTGATGACTCTGACCAGCTAGTCAAATGAGTTCGCAGTGTAATTTAAGAAATTCCTTTTAATAGACATCATATCCATCCATATATGAGGTAACTTTCTCGTATTTGTCCTAGGAAAAATTTCTCAATTCCTTTTTATTGCAGCCTTCAGTGGATAGTCCAAGTGCCTATTTTTGTGCATAAATTCATCCATACAACTGTATATCATGCTGTGCTGTTTCGTGGCCTATGATCCTAAAGGAGGAACAACAAATAAAGGTTATGAGTTCGATCTCTGATGGGATTATACGTGTGCACGGATGAAGAGTCCTAAATAAAGACAAAACAAACGTCTAAGACTTCTTGGTTCCTAATGGTCTCTGACTAAGGTTTTCGTTTGAGAAGAAATTTGCACTGAAATGTTAGTGAAGGAAGGAAGATTTAACGCATTCATCAAAATTTCTGTAGAATTCGTCAGCAGAATAGTCTACATGCCATGTTACATATATGCTGGAGAATTGATATGTATCCACATATATATATTTATGTGTGTGTGTGTATGGTGGTCTCTCTTTCTGTTTGCTCGCTTAGTCTGTGACCATTTCACTTTGATGAACCTGTCTCCTTTAACAATGTATATTCTCCTTATATTATATTATATATAATATGAGTGTTTGTTGACAGTCCGTTGCTTGGTGACATATGTCCATATTATATGTGTGGTTGTTGACATGTCTGCTATATTTTGCTATGTATATTTGGATCGACACTCCATTGTAATTAGCCATTCATGTTAAGACTGTCTATTGATTTGTTCACACACTTGTCTGGATGATCATATGTATATTTCGCTCACACAATCTTGTGTGACACTTTGGTGTGATACCACTTTTGCATTCTCCTTGTGTTTGGAAAATAGAAGTATCATCGCAAACCTAGTGGTCTTCTGATTTCCGCCTTCTTGCGTCAGGACTATTAAATCCTCGACCAGTACAGCATAACAGGAATACATAACTGATGAATAAGTAACAGTCAGTCGATCGTGCTAACAAAAGGTTAAGCTAAAATATCCAAAAGGGTGGAAGATATGAAAGGTCAAAAGGGGTTCAAACTCAGGGTTGTAATAATGACTGACTGACTTCAGCACAGAACTTTGCACCAATATGCAGCAGTTCAAGTCACCATACTCCATATAGCACACAAAGCAACAGAAGAAATGCATATTAGGGAAAGTAAATAGAGGTGTGAGACAAAGGAATAGTAATAACGAAGAACAGTAGAGTTTCATTGGGTATTATAAGTCACATCTACGCCAGCCATTGAGAACGAGGATTTTGAGCCATAGTATCAGTTGTCTCCAGCCCTCATTGGTTTTTACTATCCCGAGGACTCCAACCAGGAAGGCAGTCTACACTTTCCTACGTGGCTTAAACTAGCTGTTATGAATTCCATTGATTGATGCCATTTTTCGGTTTGACCACCACTGGCTAGCTTTTTTCCAGCCTTACCCTATATCAGCTAACATTGCCCATCAGTCGAGGAAGGTGATGGCTAGGCAAGCATGTGTAACGCATGTCCTAACCATCTCAATCGATACAGATACTTCACAACCTCGTCTATTGACTTCCCTTGCTTACCTAGAACTCGACGTCTAACCTCAATATTGTTCACCTTATCACACCGCTTTACATGGGAGACAGAACGCAGGCACCTATGATGAAAGACAGCTTGCCAGACTTTTCACGTCTTCCACTCTCAATGGCCAGATCTCGCAGCTAGCCATAAAGGCAGACGGGGCGGACTTCTGAGCAGTACACACGCCCTTTGGTTGACAGCCATTCGGATATCACGTCTACTAAGCCAGATACGGCGTAAACTGGCAGATGTGAAACGATTCTTCTGTATCTGTGCTAAGATTTCGTCAGCATTCAACCCGTTGGGGCTGGTTGGTGCGACTTCCCATCACCCACTTCACTTCCTATTTCTAATCTAGAAGTCAGTGTAGTCCAGTCTAGTCCTGTAGCATCATCTTACATTTGGCGGGCGCGAAACGCATGCCAAACATTCGAAGAGTAGCTTTATTCCAAAACACCACTCTCAATACAGTGTGGAATTCTCACCATTCGGTACAATACTGCATCCAATTTACTCGGAAACCGTAAAAACAAAAATAATCATTACAGGATCAATAATAACAGCTGCTTTGGTATAGGCAGTGAAAACAAGGTCAAAAATGTGTAAAACAGTAATAATAATAATGTTAATAGCTAAAATTATAAGTTCACTGAAATATTGTCAACATAGATTACAAATAGGAGAGAATTAAAGAGCCAATTATTTTACTAATAACGTAGTAATTTACTATCAGGTGTGTGCCGGCAGGGGATCGAATCTCGTACCATGTGCATGGTCGACGAGAGTCCTAACCACTGTGCCACCGACGCGCCTAACACTATCTCTAGAACATAGAACACGGGTCAGTTATGGTATCGTCGAATTTTTGTACTTGTTTTTGTACTAGCATATAATCTTTTTTTAACCGATTTCTAATCCCAACTGATGAGATGCAAAGCTGAGAGAGTTGAGAATGGAAAGGGTGTATTGAGAATCAAACCATTTCTTTCTCACATAAGTTCAGCTGGATGTCTGTCGAGTACAGTAGTAACGAGCTGACTTATTGGTACATCATTTGCCTTATTGACGACAACCTTTAAAATTCTTCCCCTCAATATGACATACTCATTTTTGAGTAGTCGACGAGAGACTAAGTAGTAAGATGCAAGAGTTGACAAATTATAAGAATAGAGATTGAGTGACACCTATCTGATTTTCTTGACTTCCTTATGTACTAGGTTAGCCGGAACATTCTCTTATAAA